CTCCGCAGAAAAAGAGCAAAGACCACTTTGGACTGGAGGGGGATGAGGAGTCCACCATGCTGGAAGACTCCGTGTCTCCAAAGAAGTAAGTCCTCCAGGAGCAAGCTAGCTGCCAAGCAGAAGTTGAATAGAGAGTGGGCTCCAGCCAAGCTGACAGCATGGAGTGTCTGGAGGAAGAGCTGCCAGTCCTTCGGTGGTGTGCGCACCTCTTGACCTGGTATTTCTCGTCATTTCAGATCGACTGTCTTGCAGCAGCAGTTTAACCGTGTAGGCAAGGCGGAGCTGGGCTCAGTGGCCCTGCCAGCCATCATGCGGACAGGCGCTGGAGGGCCAGAAAACTTCCAGGTGGGCACGATGCCGCAGCCTCAACTGCAAATCACCAGTGGCCAGATGCACCGAGGGCACATGCCTCCCCTGGTAAGCTCTCCCTGTGCCCAGCATAGAGCACAAACTCCGAAAGATGCCCATTGGACTCATGTAGACCCATCCACTTGGGTCCGTGGCCAAGGCGTTGGCTTGCCATGGAGAGCAGGGACTCTGTGCCGCTGGCTTTGTGGGCTTGCTGGCCTAGCTGAGCTGGCGTCCTCCCACACACGCTCTGCAAACCTGAGCTACACGCTGGTGTTTTCCCCTGGCCGGCAGCCGCAGCCTCTCTTTTGGGTTGAGCTGCCCTGAGTTGCTGTGCCTGACCAGCCCTGCCAGTGCTGTGGTTTGCCACAGAACCCTGTGCTGCAAACCTTTGCCTTTTAGTAGCCCCATGTCCTCTGCAGCCAGAGAAGTGCTTGGAAAAGGCCACAAGGAGGCTGTTTTCTTTGACCTCACTCAGCCTGATGTGGGGCTTGCTGTAAAAGACTTGTGGGGTCCCACTTCTGCATCCCATTCGCTGAGAAGTGATTAACTGTGACCCTTGCTTGTACCCACAGTGGGATGGGGCATTTCCCAGTGCGAGGCGCAGAGGGGAGACCCCCTTTTTCCTAGGTGCACCTCCCTTCGTAGAGGCGCCTACTTAGAGCTCTGTCATCAACAGCACGTTAGACCATGTTGCAGGAGGTCATGAGCCAAATATTTAGGCATGGACTTCAAGCTTGCTCCATCTGCCCCTGTGTTGCAGACTTCAGCCCAGCAAGCCCTGACTGGCACCATCAACTCCAGCATGCAGGCTGTGCACGCAGCCCAGGCCACGCTGGATGACTTCGAGACCTTGCCGCCCCTTGGGCAGGATGCTGTGAGTGCTGGGTGACAGCGGGGTGCTGGGGGGGACCTCACTAGAGGTTGTTGGCTGGGATGGGTGAAGCTGGCCACATTCCCAGGAGAGGTGTCATCAGCTCCTGGGAAGATCACAGAATCATAGAATGGTAGGGGTTGAAAGGGACGTCTGAAGATCATCTGGTCCAGCCTCCCTGCCAAGGCAGGATCACCTAGGGCAGGGAACACAGGGACGCAACCAGTGGGCAGGTTGTACAGGAACGCGTCCACTCGGGTTTTGAAGGTCTCCAGAGAAGGAGACTCCACAACCTCTCTGGGTAGCCTGTTCCAGTGCTCCATCACCCTCACAGTAAAGAAGTTTTTCCTCATGTTGAGGTGGAACTTCCTGTGCTGCTTCCTGATCTGCTGCCTGCAAAGAGGTGGGGCAGTATCCTACTCTAGGAGCAGGATTGAAGGGGACATGTGGTCATGTTGCTTTGTCAGGATGGTCTGGGGAGTTTTGGGTGGTCACAGCCCTTCTTTCCTTCTTCCTTGTTTTCTTTTTCCTGCATCTTGCCTTTGTGAGCATGGATGCAGCTACCCACCACCTCCACCATGTCCTGACCCTGTTCGCCTCATTTCAGGCATCCAAAGCTTGGCGCAAAAACAAGATGGATGAGTCAAAGCATGAGATCCACTCCCAAGTGGATGCTATCACTGCTGGCCCAGGCGCTATCACTGCTGGCACAGCCTCGGTGGTCAACCTCACTGCAGGTATGTGGAGGGTTGGAGAAGAGGGATGCCCCATGTCTGGAAGAGGCTTGGTCTCTGCTGGCTGAAGGTCATAGCTCCTGCCCTCCATCAGAGACTGGAGGAGCCAGCCTGCCCCAGCTAGAGCTAAATCAGCCCTGACTGCCGCAAATGTGCCCATAGATCTGTCCATGCCCCCGCAGCTTGCCTTGCCTGTGCCCATCCCAGTCCTTCCAGTCCTTGGCTGACCAGCCATCCTCTGGACCAGGAATGTGTTGTCTGGTCCCTGCCATAGCTCCAGGCACAGCCATAGCGCAGTGTAGCTCTCTTTGCCCAGGCTGTGCTGCCCAAACTTGGCTGATGCAGTCACCTTTCAGGCCTGGAGCCAGGGGGTCTCTCCCACTGCTCCCAGGAATGAGAATCACATCGATGACAGGCGCAAGGGTGCTCTTGGAGCATCACTTGAAGTGTGTTCCACCCTGACTCATCTCCTCCCTGTGCAGGGGATCCAGCAGACACGGACTACACCGCTGTGGGCTGTGCCGTCACCACCATCTCTTCCAACCTGACGGAGATGTCCAAGGGTGTGAAGCTGCTGGCTGCACTGATGGAGGACGAAGGAGGGAATGGGCGGCAGCTTCTGCAGGCAGCCAAGAACCTGGCGAGTGCTGTCTCGGACCTGCTGAAAACAGCACAGCCTGCCAGCGCTGAGGTGAGGGGCAGGAGTCTGAGGTGAGGGGCCGAGAGGAGAGTGGATGCCAAGGGGAACCATGGGGTGAGGTTTTACAGCTTGCTTATGAGGCCGGTGTTGATTTTGCCTTGGTCCTTGCAGCCTCGCCAGAATCTCCTGCAGGCTGCTGGCCTCGTGGGCCAGACCAGTGGGGAGCTGCTGCAGCAGATCGGGGAGAGTGACACTGACCCTCGGTTCCAGGTGAGTGCACTTGGCAGCACCCAGGGACACACACTCCCTAAAACCATCAGCCTTTGCACAGGATGTGGCAGCAGGGCTCCGGACTGAAGCTTGGCTGGTGCCTGGCAGTGACTTTGCTGAGGGAAGGGACAGGCCGTTGCCCATCTTTGTCCCTAGAGACGCTGTGGTATAACACCTCTTATCTTGTGGATTCCTATGTAGATCCCAGAAAGCCGGCGTGCTTGGATCCTGCCTACCTCTGACCCAAAGACGGTAAAAGGGGGCTGTAGGCATGGCTTGGTGGTTCCTGCCCTCTCCAACATGAGGGGTGCTCCTCTGGGGACTATCAGCTGAATTCTTTGGAGATGGGCTCTTGTCAAAAATCTGCTTTTCTGGTGGTTGGCTCTCAGAAGTCCATGCACTCGGGTTGCTGCTTGGGTGAGTGC